CTGACACCAAGTAATAAAGACAAGATCTGCTGTGACAGTTAGTGCAGCCTTGGTGGCTTTGGAGCTGAAACCACCCTTCATCTCACAGGATATCCCTCCTTGAAACTGAGAAAGCACATCAAAGGAACTCTGTACCATAACCAGCCAACAAGGGAAGATCTACAGCTGATAGTACTGCCCCATCTCATAGTAAATACTTCACACTGCAGAAGTAAACTCAATGCCATGCTTAAAGCAGAAGTAAATTCAGCTGCTATACTTCGAGTAGTAAACTCAGTGCTATGCTTAAAGAAAAGGAAATTAGTCACCAGGACACACTGAAGGACCTTTCTGCTTCATTTGCATGGGTCCTGCCTTGCAACTTCTCAGCTCCACAAGTGTCTCTAGCCTCCCTGCAGTGGTAGCACGACATACCTGAAGCAGATGGCTTTGCAATTTCAAACAACACTGTTCCAGTTTCAAGGTCCCGAATCTTAAACCTGGTGAAGTCAATGTTGTAAATGTTGTCTTCAGGTTTGCATAAATAATCTAGAAACAAAAGAAAATGTGTTGTAACGTTTCAAAAGATCTCTGAGCACTTACCAAAAGGATTTCTTAGCCCAGCCCGTTAAGATGCGTACTGCAAGTTCTTTTGCAGAAGCTTCATGAAAGCTGACCAAAACCGATGCAAGAAGAAGAAAGGCCGTTAGGTACCAGGTAAGGAGTGAGAAAGGGAGGCATCCGGACGGAAAAGCAGAGCTCAGCAGCCCAGAGCCCTGACTCGAACATCGGGAGCTGCAACAAAGCTGAGGCAGGAGCGCACCGCGCTGCAGCAGCGCCTGCCGCTCCCCACGCCAGCGCACGGGCCGGCAGCACCGCCCGAGCCCCGCCGCTCCCGGGTCTTTTCCCCCACCACAGGGGCCCACAGCCCGGCTCCGCGACACCCTCCGCGCCGGCCGAGGAGGGGGCTGACGGGGCGGAGCCCGCCCGGAACGGCGGGGCCAGCCGAGGCCCGGCCGAGCGCTGCCGGCCCCAGCTCCCCCTCCCCGGGCCCAGCCCCGCACTCACTCTCCGTCACCCGGCACAGCCCCAGGACGTGCTCGGGCCGCACGGTCTCCAGCGCCAGCAGCTCGGACTCGGTCCATGGCGGCCGCGGGGCCGCGTCTCCCGAGCCGCGCCTTCCCCGCAGGCGGCTGAGCGGACCCGCGGACCCCGGCGGCGGCTTCTTTTCCGGCCCCGCCGCCGCCGCCCTCGCCTTCGAGCCGCTCATCGCGCCGCCGCCGCCGCCAAGATGGCCGCCGCCTCCCTCGGTAGCTATGGGAGCGAGGGGCGTGCCCGCGGCGGGTCAGAGGGCACGGGCGCTGCCTAGCAACGGGAGCGGGCCCCCGAAGCTAAGCGCGGCCGGACGAGGGGGGGCCCCGCCGGCCGCAGGGCCCCGGCCCCGAGCAGCTCCTCCGGGGGGGGGGGGGGGGCCGGCAGCGGGACAGGCTGCGGGCTACCCAAGGAAGCACAAAACACAACCAAGAACACCCCCGGGGCCAGCAGCGCTCCCCCCCCCGCCGTCCCCGGCCCGCTCCTGTTTGCCAGCCGCGGAGCAGGGAGGCGACCCCCGGCCCGCAGAGCCCCACAGCGGCTCCCCGGGATCCCGCACGGGTAATTGCAGAGGGCAGGCATCCCCCAGAGAGCCCCGGGCTTACCGGGGAACGAGGGGAAGCACTGCCGGCAAGCAGCCGCGTCAGCAAGGGGATGGCCCGGAGCGCACACCCCACTGCTGGAATGGGGACACCCCAGTGCCTGTCCCCAGTGAGCTGGGGAAGGGGCAGGACCGTGTGCCCCAAGGAAGGTCACCCATGGAGTGCCAGGGCCCTGCCAGGCCCTCCCTGGGTCAGCCAGCCCCAAGCCGTGCCACCCCGACTTTGTGCACCCCCTAAGCACACACTGGGGACAGTGGAAGATGGTGGAGGAGTCTCCTACGCCTGGGCAGAGGGATGGGGATGTCCCACCTGGAATCACTCCCAGGAGCACCACACTGAGGAAAGGAACCCCTTCTTCCCCAGAAAGGAGCAGCCGGGCTGCCCAAGGCACTTAAGAGCTGCAGTCATCTTCAGCCCTTCAGGGAACTGGGGAAGTACAAGAAACATCTGCATCCTCTTCCCAGACTCCAGCCAACGCGCTCAAGATGACTGGAAACAGATTCAGAGCAGTGGTTAGTGACGTTTGCTGCTGCTGCTGCTGCTGCTTGTAAGCAGCACCCGCCTCTACTGCCAGCCAAACAAGCCTGTTCCCAAATCCTCCTTGCTGTCCTTCCATCCTGCGCCCTAGGAAGCACAGACCAAAGACCCAGAGCAGCTGCTCTGCAGAGGGCCAGGGTCCTTTGTCCCCTGTGATCAGGCACCTAGAGGAAGAAGGTGCTGCCTTCTAACTGCTCCAGCCCCTCCCGACTGCCTCTGACGCAGCTTCAGGCTGAAAATGGGGCATCCTGCACAAACCTCAGAAAGCAGATTACATCTCTGGCACATCTCCTGACCGAAGCAGGAAGCACAAGGTCCGCATCAATGCTCTTAAAAGCCACCCAGCTTGCACTTAATCATCCAAAACCACTGGCAGCAGCAGCGTTGGGTTGGGACGTTAAACTGCATCTCGCTTTGCAGTGCAACCAGCCTCCCGCTGCCCCCAGCACTGGAAAAGAGGACCCAGCTCACCCAAGTGACAATATAACTCTGTTTATTTTCCTTCAGTGCACTGCTGGTCCCAGTGCCAGGCAGTGGATTTCAGAACATTCCCTCAAACATCCTGGGCAAATTAACAAAAATAAAACTGTCGCCATGTACCAAAAATAAAATAACCCACCCCAAACCTGCCTCTTCCCCCAAGCCAGTTCCCTGCAAAGGCAATGCAATCAGAAATAATCTGTGCTTCTCAGCCAGGGCCCGAGCTTGCTGCAAACAAAGGAAATGTCACTGCAAGTTGTGATAACACAAAGTAATGGACAATAAGACTAACCCCCCCCTCTTAAAACCCCTTTGTACTGGTGACAAGTACAGATGGAGATCTCGCCCCACACTGCTTTAGCCTTTACAGACAACTCAGACCGGCAGCTTCAAGTAGTTTGTGGTGTGTCCTTAATGCCAATAGCACAGGCCAGTTCCACGCATCCCAGCTGGGCAGCATGGAGCAGTGGGACCGTCTGCCAACACTAAAAGCTGCCACGACAACAGGACCCAAACATCCCTCTCACCTGCCCAGCATCACACAGTCCTGGTGCTGCCTCCTGGCATGAAACACAAACCTGCCTCTGCTCCCACAGGCTCTGGGGCTGTCTGACCAACCTGGCTCGAGTGGGAAAGCCCTGAACAAAGTCCCCATAGAAACCAGGAGAAATTCAAGCCCTCACTTGCCATCAAATTCCAGGCACAGCTTCCCTCCAGTGCCCCAGCTCAGGAGCAGTGTGACAGAGCTGCCATAAGCAAGCACATCCCCACCACGTGTGACCGGGAGCAACTCCAGGTCAGAGCTCAAGTGCTTCCAAATTCACACTCTCCCCAGTTAAACTGGCTCAAGCTGTACTTTGCCCCTTCCCTTGGAATCTCCATCACACAAACTCTTCAGCAGAGACCTCTGATGTTTGTAAAGATGATTCACATTTTCCAATCAGCCAGCACTGTTTCAGGAGGGAGGAAAGCAAAGCACTTGTGTTTCGTTGATTATTTTTTTCCTTATTTTTTTAATTTTTTTTTTAAATAAAGTCCTTTTTTGGGAAAGAAAAAACCAAAACCTATCAATAACTTGCAGTAGCATCCCACTGATCAGACTGGGGACAGCACCGTCGCATCCCTCCCCCTCCCGTATCTTCCCCCCAATCTCCAAAAATAGTATTTAATATACAGCAATAAACTCTGAGCAAGCCAGAGTCCCGGAAGACATGGACCTGCTTTCACCTCTCCTATCCAATCCAGCACCGTTTCAATGTGGTTGCTACTATAACTCCTGCGACAAATCCATTCGGATCCCAGGTGATACACACATGCCCCAGACCCGCTGGGTGCAGCACAGGAGGCCTATTTGTGTAATCACGTTTCTGAGCCTTCACAGTTCCAGCCTGGTGTTGTGTGTGTTGAGAATACTTGTCTGAGCCTATATGGGACTAGCCAGTGAAGACAGACTGGTGGAACCAGGCTGACGGTTAAAAAAGCATCCTGGAATTGTATTAAACTTTGGCATTTGTTGTGGAGATGCAGAAGCGCCAGTAGGTATATTAGCTCAGTGCTGGCCCAGATCCCATTTCCCTCGGATTCTCAGCAAGGATATTTCCCTCCCCAGCACTTAAGTGCAAAAAGCAGACAGATCTCTCCCACATTTGAGCACCAAACAGAGCCTGAAACACTTGGTACCTCACAGCTGCTCAGAATCTGTCTCGCATCAAGGGCTGAAGCTGCTCTGCTGGTCCTTTCCCTCCTCCTGCTGTTTTCTATCAAAGACAGGCCTGTTCAGACTTCCCATACAAAGACACTTCCCTGACTGTTGCTGTCCTATTTCAATTTAAAGGCCAAGGGACGAAGCACAAATCTCTGCTCCTTGCTCAGACCCAAATGGCACAGAACTAGGCCTCAGCAAGCAAGTTTGAGGGGCAGTACCCCCCAGGCCACAATCTACACCCAGAAGCTGTAAGCACCACACCAGGACCTAGCCATGACTCACTCAGCTCTGAACTGCACAGACACGCAGGCACCGGAGTGTCTGGGAGCTCTCCATCCTGCCTCCAGGAGCTCGCTGGGGGAGACCAGACCTGAAGGAGCTCTTCCAGTTCTTCCATCCCCTGCTAGGTTTTTCTTCCCACTGATCTCAGAGGCTGGAACCAACAATGCTCACTCACCATTCTGTGCTTGAGCTGTGACCTCCAGAGCTGGCATCCAGGGACAGTGGGGCAGTCCCCAGCTGATCACAAGGGCAGGGAATGCCTGGCCCTTGGGAAAAAGAAAAAGCAACTCAGAAGCTCCTTAAAAAAAAAAAAAAAAGGAAGCTTCTTCAAATAGACTTTTATTCAAAGCCTGAGACAAAAGGCACCAAAAAGAGAAGGGAATTCACTTGGCTTTCTGCTCACTGCCACCTGGGATGCTCAGAAGGGTCACAGATCTTGTTTCAGTCACACACACAGAAGGAGAAAATGGCCCGGCTTAAAGATACAAAAGGAGGGGCTGATGGGGGGTAATGAAAACAGGCTTTGGAACCGCTACACTGAGGTTGTATCCAGTCCCAAAACATGATCCTTAAAATTGCCTTATCTGCCCCTTTCTACACAACTGCTCCATGAATCCAGCCAGGGTCTGTCCGGAGCCAGCTCCCCACTGCTGCGCAGGGACACACACTTCACCTCCCTGCTGCTGGCAGGAGGCAACAAAGCACACACAGGCTCACTTAAACCACACCTTGGGTATCCCCTCAAAGCACTGGAAAACTACAGCCAACCCAAACCTTTCCTTTACCAGGACCAGGTACCTCATTGTACATCCATCTGCCTGGCTTGCAGATGCTAGACAGAGACTGCAAGGGGAGTTGGCCGGAGGATGCCATTCTCAGCAAGGTGCTGAGCAGTTATCCCCTACCATCCTCCCATGTTCCACATGCTTTGTTTGAAGGCTCCTTGAGGCAAATGTGTTGGGAGGGGATGGACCAACAAGGAAAACAGCCCATAGCGCCACAAGAGGGTCAGGAACCACCCAAACACCAGCTTTGTACCGACAGAGATGCATAAAACCAGAGCCAAAACAACTAAATTGAAGCCATGAAGGCTGAACTCTTCCCCCTCCCTATTCTTATTCAAATAAGACAAATTCATTTGAACTGAGCAACTGGAACACAACAGTGCACACTCTGCAGAGCACTGCTTTAGGGCAGCTGATGGCACCAAATGGGTGCCCTGGCTGCCAGGAGAGGCAGGGATAAACTACCCTAGAAAACTTGTCTGACTTTTGCACTCCCAAATTTACGCCTTTTCTCACGTCAGGAAAGGTGCAGAGATTACTGGGTGAGCCACAAGAAGCTGAGTGATACCTTGCTTCAAAGATGCTCAAATAAGATGCAACCTAAAAGGCCTGGAGGATAACAGCTCCTTACAGAGAGGCTTGCTTTCAAGTCCAGGTTTTTTGCTTAACAAATCAGCACAGCTCATGCTTCTCAAAACTGATAAAGATCTAAATGTCTCTTGTGCTCCAGATACAGCAATCCCCAAAACACTGGAGAATCTCTGCAGGCATTGTCACCAAACAAAACAAAGCTCCTATTTTGTGTGAGTTTTATACTTACCAGGATTTTAACAGCAGCTAGAAGATGAAGCAGACAACTTCAAGCTTAAAGCCTTTTCATCCTAAGGTTTGTTCTTAAGATCTGCTCTCTCTAAAGCCTGTCTTCTCCTTCAACCGTGACAGGGACCCTCTTACTTCTCCCAAACTGGCTGGTACCACTTGTACAACTGGAGAGAAGGTAATTAAGGTCCTACCGCCTGCCTTTTAGCTCAGAGACACAGAATTAGGGTCAAGCTTACAGCAGTGATGTACGAATCAGAAGAGCAAGGTTCAGTGACACTGCTGCAGAGAGCAGTGCTCAGACACCTCCTGTTCTGGAGCTCGGGAGCTGACAGCTTGTATCACAGCTTGAGGGTTAGGAGGAAGTGAAGGCTTCAGCTGCTTGGGCCCAGCAGAGCAGGAGGGCTGTTCCTCCAGTTTCCTTTCTGCAAAGCAGGGAATTCTGCTGTCCCTTCTCAGCTCAAAGGGCTGAGCCACTGCAGGGGATCAAGCCCAGAAACAACTGCAAGGAAAACTCAGGCTCAGGGAAGAGCAGCAGCAATGAGGACACCACTCAGTGCCACTGCTCTGGGCAAAGCAGAGAACAGAGACAGCAGAAGGTGAAGCGTTCTGTGAGCCTGGAGCTCACCAGCATGGAAGCTGACCTGCAAGGATCCAACCCCACCTGGGACAGATCCTGCTCCAGCACACAGAACATCTCCCTCCTGCCAGCTGGAAGTGCTCAACGTCTCAGAGGCCAAGAGCATGGGAAGGCAGCTCCTTGGGGCCTGGAGCTCTGGATCAGCAGGCACAGGAATGGCTTTCACTCCTGCTCAGCCTCTGTCAGGCAGGCACAGGCTCTGCACAGGGAAACAGAAGCCTCTTGCAGAAATATCCCTGGGGGAAGCTGGTGACCTTGTCTCCAGTGTTCTGCTCCCTTCCCAATCTCTGGAGGGCATCAAATCACCTTGCTCTACAGTACTGAAATGTTGGACATCTGCCCCTTCACTACAGTGATGGGCAAAAGACTGAGCTACCAGAAGACACTGAACAACTCGCTGCAATTCTCACCACTGCAGGTAGCCCTGGTCCCTGCAAGGAAATGAGAGCTCACAGGGAGCATCCATGATGGTGGTCCACTGTCCTACAGCACAGGTTCTTCACAGTTACAGGGCAGGGAGCTAACTGTTAGGAAGGTCAAGGAACAAAGCCAGAATCTCCTCTCTAGGTCGCCTCTTTCTCAGCTTCTTTCGAAGGAGAGGTCACTTGATAGGGCAAAACAAGGGACTGGGCTTAAAATGAAACCTTTGAAAAGGATAATAAAGGAAACAAAAGCCATAATCAATACAAGTGCATCTGATCAGACGCTAACGTCAGCCTCTCACAGGCTACAGCAGAATCCCTCTGCGATGGATCTAACATTACAATTGCCAAGCTAGGAAAGTCTCTCCCAACTGGTGCAGCAAATCAGGCCAGATAAATCCCTCTGCTCCTGGCACAGCTTGCAGTCTTAGGAGGGAAACATCTCCACAGAGGCTGAGCCGCTAGCCGGAGTCTTGGCATCTTTCTGCAGGCGAGTACCATACATCGTGTTGCACACATTCAGGGAGATGCTGAGCCAGGCTCTGTCCTCCACCGTTGTTAGTCACCCCACAGCACCACACCACTTCCACGCTCCTGAACAAAACGTGTACTCAGGCCTGGTTTTAGGAGCTGCTTCCCTCCTTAAGGAACCGTATTCCACCCAGCAAAGGCAGAGGTCTTTCAGCACATGGCTTTCTCTCAGTCTGGGACATGGCCCAGAACTGGAAGCATCAGCTTGCAACAGCCCAGTACAGACAGCCAGGGCTCAGTTTACTCTGGGATGCCCCAGGGAGGATCAGAGGCTGCACATGGTGCGAAGGGGAAGGCGAGGGCCTCGCTGCTAGCTGGCAGGGGGAAGGTAAGCTCCCTCTTACCTGGACCTGCTATTCATTCCAAATGAATTTTTTTTTTCTTTTTTTCCTTAAATTATGAACAATATGGAGAAATCAAAAGCAACCGTGTTTGGTCCAACTCCTTCCCTCCCAGCCCCTCGGCTGATGCTCTGTGGGGCTTGCTCTCACAATCGGCAGAGGCAGAAGAGGGTAGGAATGAAGACACCAAAGGCCACCAATATAGGAAACATGAGGCTGCTGTTGTCCGAGGCATAGGGGTTTGGTGTGCGTGGGCCTGACTGAACCCGGTTCTTATTTGCCTGTTTTTTAACACTTGAGCCATCATCATATTCATCTTCATCATCATCTTCCTCTTTTTTCTCCAGACCTGGGTGCGGCTGCAGCTTTGGAACATCTGTTGGACAAGACAAAAGGTTGCAAGGCGGCAGAATGCAACATGGGAAGTCACCCGAGTCACTGCCTTCTCCCCTCCCTGACCCAACATGGACAAGGACAACAGGGCACCTGACAACACATCAACACCACAGCCAGAGCATCCCCCCTCACAGAGGCTCACTCCGCTATTTCTTTCCTCCATGACACAAGAGCATCCGAAGACCCAGTCTGCAAAGAAAACGACAGCATTCCACCCCAGCTATATGTTACACAGCAGAAGTTATGGCACAAAAGCACACTTGGAGCATACACAGTCAGGTACCACAGCTGCTCAGCGAGAGCTAGTCAAGAACAAGCATTCGCTACCTGCAGGGCCTGCAAACAGAGGTGCAAACAGAAATGGGAACAACCCTTTTCACAAATGGTCCTACCTCACATCACTGCATCCCCCTTAACCCCAGCCCTATCAGAGCACCATGGCCCAACCCCACTCAGACCCAGCCCTCTGAGCCTGGAGCATGAAGTGCAGGTCCCCACACGTCAAGGTTCCTCCCAACTGCAAGGTTAGGCACCAGATCTTCAGCATCACTTGGCAACTCCTGACCAATAGTAAAGCAAACTGATGCTTTGGTCAGCACAGGGTCCTAAACCTTCTCTGCTTAGGACCTAGAGGAGCTCCAATACAGGCTTACAAAGATGGTGATGGAAGAGCAAGGACGTTATTAGCACTCCCCACTGCTGTGAAGAGGAACTGATATCTTTGGAGAAAAAAAACACTGCCTTGTCCACAAGCTGAGGAGACAAAACGAAGTTCCAGGTATGAAACACTTAGCTACTAGCTAAAAGATCTTTGTGAATTGCTTGTCTGCAGGGCTGCTGCTGTCATGCAAGGCCAGAGGGAATTCACCTGTAGCTCTAAGGTAAGACTGACCAGAAGCATTCCCTTCTTCTCTACCCTATACACAGAGAGTCTCAAACCACAGTGGTTTTTTTTCCTATTGCAAAAGTGCACAGCTTTGTGCACTTGGAGGAACAGGAGGACCCTATGCACCTATTGCACTCTGTGGGAACTTGCTCACAGAGGAAACATTTTTGGCAGAGGTGGGTCAGCAAGAGCTATGATCTCATGGTCTGAGAAGCAACAGGCAACTCTCCAAGGGCGAAGAGCCTGCTGGCTCAGAAACTGTGCTTACCTTCCACTGTTCCTTGCAGGATATATAGGGCACAGATTTTTGGATTGTCATAGTAGCCCTAGAGAAAGCACAGAAGGAAATCACTGTTGTGGATCTGAGACAAGAAATACTCTCCCCCCTTACCATCACCTCTTCTCCTTCAGAAGAACACAGCCTGCAGCACATGGCTGGGGAGGAAGGGGAAAAAGAAGCCCAGGGCTCTGCACAGAAAAAGCTTGTTACCTTTACAAACTCAATGTGGAGCTTCCCTGTGAACGTGGAAACCTCTCCCTGGACACTCAGCTTCCCCTTTTTAATACTCATGGGAATGATCTCATCGTGAGCTGTGCTGTGTCCAACTCTGTCAAAAATGTCCAAGTCCTTCACCACCACGTGGCCATTCAAGCGAACATCAAACACCTTCAGGGTGGAAGAAATGACAGTGTCAGGACGGATTCAGGCATGATGGTTGAAATGGGAACTCAACAGGAAAGGTCTCTGCCTGTTATGCACCCAGGACCAGAAAGCACTGCAGCATGCACTGTCCCACCACACATGCTCCACTCCCTTGGGAAGGATTCAGAGCCCAAAAGCAGCCAGGTAAAGACACTGAAGCATTAACTTTGCTTTCAAATACCCTGAAATCTGCCTCCTTCTCTTAAAACACCCCCTTCATCTGCTGTTCAGAATGGAGGACAGCACAATTTTATTCTGGTTTGTTCATACTTTTTTTTCACATCTTCCCTTCCACCTACTGGCTGAGGACCTGCTCCTACCACCGCAGGGTGCTGGGGCACACCACACCCTAGGGAGTGAAGCAGTTTCTAACTAACAGCCTGCAGCAGAGCAGAGCAGAGCAAACAAGCTGGTGAAGGAAAGGGTTTGAAGGAGGTAAAATGCCGAACTGCTAACCACATCTGTGAGTTCAGAGTGAAAGTCCTCCTCAGGGCTGTAATGACTCAACCTTCACTCAGCACCTGGGGAATCCCAGCACAGCCACATGAAGGAAGAGGAACCAAAGATGCCTCAGCCCTTCAGTTTAATGTGAGGCTGCTTTTTGCATCCATTCTGTAAGCCAGCCCCACCAGTTCTGCTCCCTGAAATACTTCTCTGGCAGGAAAGCAGCACAGTGCTTAAGGAACAGGGCTCTAAGGAAGCTGATGGAGTCAGGGGAAAGCCAGACTAAAACACACACCACTTCTCTCCCAGTTCATCACAGGACTTTGAGTTCTTTGTGCTTCTGCTTCCACGTCTGTACATGAGGGATTTCAGAAGTGACAAGGATTATTCTTCTCTAAAGAGCAATAAAGAGGGTTGAATTTAACTCTTGTGTTTTCAAGATCAGACTGAACCAGGACAAAGTCTTACAACGTTGGTGTTTGAGTAGGTTATTTAACCGAGATCACCTCCCTGATTTAATCTGTGCAATACTTCCTCCAGCACCAGCCTGCCCTCAGGTCAGGCACAAGCACTCAGGAAAAAGGCAAAAATGACTTCTCAAAGCCTGAACAACCTAAAGAGATCATAAAGCTCTAGTGCTACTTTAGTTGCCCACGTTTGAATGCTTTGTAATGCCATTTTCCAGGCCAACTGTATGGAATGTGGAAGACAGCTCGAAGTTTCAGAGCCCGTGAAAGCTCTGGGACATAAGTTAACCATTAGTGCCTTAGTGCCTTCCTTCACTCCTTTCTCCAGCAGGCGAAGCAGCAGAAGCAACCTGAACACACACAGTCTTAGCCAGGAATTCGCATCAAAGAGACAAGCAAGGAGCTGTTGCTTACCTTCTGTTGAGACTGTGCAAAATAGACCTCTGCAAACTTCAATACCAGCACATAGTCACCCTCTTCTTTGATGGGGACTTCGTAGCCAAAGGTTTCCTCGTTGTAACGCTCAGTCTGGTACAGAATCTGATCTTCTGCATTGGACCTCAAGATTGGCAGCTTCATACCATAGTCAGAAGCTGGGTTTCAAGCACAAAACAGTGAGAGGAAGGGTTAATTTGAGGCACATGGAAGACACACTTTATGCAGATACCCTTGGAGTGCTTAACCCTCAGACCTGTCTCCCCTCCTTGCTCTGACCAGGAGGAGGCACTACCGGAGCTGAAGCAGAGGCAGCCAAAGCCCCAGAACCCAGGTCCTGCAGAAAACCAGATCTGGATCTGCTGCAGTCTCAGACACAGCAAACATATTTGCACAGCTTCAGAAAGAAGAGCCTGTCTCACAAACAGGCTCTGAGCCAAAGGACTTGGCCATTGACTCCTGCTTCATAGAGGAAAACCACCTAGAATATTTTTACAAGCTTTTCAAATCACAAGCTGGGTACAAACCCAAAACAGTCGGTGTAGGACTGACTTGGCTCATTCACCCAACAGATTTGAAGTTAGCAGTCGATGGCATCAGGTTTTAGATGTGCGAAAACCTCGGGAATGGCAGAAGAAATGGAATTTTCTGCCATGAATGGAAAAAAAGCATCAGACATCTTACAAAACCCCTTCTTCTCACCACATCTACGCAATAACTGCCAGCTTGCAGACAGGAAGGAAACAAGAAAGATACCCGAAAGTTTCAAGAGCACCAGCAGCTCCATCAACTCAAATGGGCGCTGCCTGCAGGCATCTGAACAACCCCCTCAGAAGGGCCCAAACAACATTCCCAAATGGGACAATAACTCAGAAAATAACAGGAATAATAACATTTGCCTCTTCTCAAGTCCTTATTGCACCACCTCTAGAGCAGCCCTCAAAAGGCCTTAACCCAACTTGCCATTTTGTTATGGCAGGGTTTCTGTACAAATCGGTGCAGGCCTCAAGAGCTCCAAATCAAGTAATTCCTCAGCGAAGCAGGGGCAGGAGGGAAGACTGTGGCCACTGGCACTTCGAGCAGGGGAAGCTGATCCATACCAAGTTCTCCGCTGACACTTGCCACTTCCACCCCATTTCCATGGGAACAGACAGTGCATCAGCAAGACAAAGCAAGGACTACAAACCCAGCCTACGTTGCCAACGATGGAGCCAATGCAAATGAGAGGAAATTAATGCCAGTTCTTGGTCTCCTGTTTCACTCAGGCAATCTCCTCCTTCTCTTTACCACTGGGAGCCAGGCACAAGGACTGGAGACTCTAATCACCAGCAATTCAGAGGTGAAAAGTTTAACCTGTCCTCCTCCACAGGTACTTCTGGCCGGCTACAGATTACAGTGACAGCAAACCAAGGACTCCACAGTAGTCAGCTCCTATTAGAGGAAAGCCTGCATAGGAAGAAAGTAACTAGAAGGTAACTGGAGAGAAAGACCTGTCACCTGCACATCACAGGCCTGTTGACAGAGCTGTGGAAGTGAGCTTGACTTGACAGTGCTGGATGTGCTGAGGTAGCTCAGCATTAAGCTGCGACTCAACAATGTTTGACACCTGGCTGCTCTGTAATTGCCATCAGCACATTTTGTCCTCCAGGGCACAGCATCTGAACTGAAGCTTGAAAAGAAACCCAGGGTTTAATTTGCCCAGAAATGCTACCCCCTGGTCTCACTTCCTCCCAGCCAGTATTTCTGCTGTAGCCATTACATGCCTATCAATACAGAGAGGAGCCCGGACTAATGTGAACAATGGTGCAATAAAAAGCCATTGAGGGAAAAGCAGCTGAGAGCTCAAAGGGGTAAAGTCTCCTCTCCTGTGCCTGGCACCACTGGCTGGAGCAGGATTACTGTAACAGCCTGGCTGCCCCCAGAGGAAGGGCATGGCAGCATGCTTCAAAAGACAACCCTTTTTTCTCCTCAGCTAAACCCGAATTGTTCGAGTCCACAATGACATTCAAGCCACACATGCGAGAAGTCTGTAAAGGGAAGCTGACCTACAGGGACCAGGGCACTTTGTGTGACTGGAGTGCCTGCTTCCACGGGGGTAAAAGAGCTCTATGTAAACCGTGTTCATATTTAAATGTGACCTTCGCTGTATGCACTGCATCCCAACAGCTCTCCATTCAGGATGGCACTCCTGCAGGGTGAGCAATGGCAGTCCCAGCTGTATAGCACAATCTCACCATCCTACACAGAAACAGGGAAGGTCAGACTTTAAAAGTCAACAGCTCACCTCCCCTGCACTCCACCACCCACCTATAACTGGCAGCAGGAGCCGCTCAGCACTGCTTCACTTTCCAATGAATTTGCTAATCACCTCAGTTCCAGTGCACCAGTTATCAGAACCACACCAAATTCATCCAACCGGAACAGTTTCAGAGGAAGTAGAATGCAACCCAAGTGCAATATCAGTTCTCCATCCTGTCCTTACTGGTAGGTATCAGATTTTACTGATTCAGTAGCTAGAGCAGCTGATCAGACCCCATCTACTTCTTCTTCCGTCCCTGCCCTGCTCCTGAACACTTGCCAGGACCGGAGCACCTTCCTCCTGCCCTGCTCCAGCACCGGGGCTGCATCGAGCAGCCCGCGCCGTGCTCCCCCAGGCTGGCACCGCGCTGCTGGTGGCGGGCATCAACCGCACCGTGAGCCAGGCTGCGGAGAGCGAGCAAAGCCTGTTCTCACCTTACCGACCGCTGCGATCCCGCAGTGCAAACTGGGGTCTTTCAGTGGAAAATGGGAAGGAAAAAACAGGAGAAAAGAGGCTGCACGTGCCCGGTTTGGCAGCCTGAGCGCTCCCGTCGCCTTTTCCAGCCGAAATTCCACTCCAGCCAGCGAGGAGCCACTTCCCCGCCGGCATTACACAACCCACAGCCCGAGGCAGGGAAAACTAGCCCTAAGCCCGCAGGGCTCATCCCGCCGACACCGCAGCCCTGGGCCCGCTTGTAGCCGGGCCCGGAGGGGGGACGGGGTGGCCGCGGTCCCGGCGGGTGATAAGTACCGTGCCGGGGGATCTCGGCCTCGCTGTCCCCCGGCAACCCTCTTCGTCACGCCGGGCCCGAACGACGGAGGGAGACCCTAACCGGACCACCGCAGGCCAGCGCGGAGACCCACTGACCCTCCGCGGCGGGGCCAGGGCAGGCGGGACGGCGCCGGCTGGACGCGGGTCCCGGACCCCCGCCGAGGCAAGCGGAGTGGAGCTGAGCGGACACAGAGAGCGGCCGCACCGACAGCCCCGCCGAGGGCCGCCCGCGCAGCACCGGTGTCCCCCCCCCGCCCTCACCTCGGCCCACGCGGCCCTCGAGCGGGTCCTTGCGGAAGTGGATGCCGTTCACGTCCACATGGGCATCGCCACCCGCATTGACGGCCCAGACGACGCTGTCGGCGAGGCCGCCCGCCGCGCCCCGCAGCACCGGCGGCAGCAGCAGTAGCAGCAAGGGCGGCAGTAGCGGCGCCCCGCGCGCCCCGGCGCCCACCATCTCGGGCTCCCGGCGCCGCGCCCGCCCCTTCCTGCCGCCGCCAGGGGGCAGCCTAACCCGCTGCCGGGGCGGAGCGCGCAACAGCCAATCGACGCGCCGCAACACGAATATTAATTTCTTGTCCGTTTGCAACTGGGTGACCGCGGGCCTTCATTTGCATATTCATAACCCGCCAGGCCAATGGGCGGCGGGAGCGGCTGAGCAGGCTTGGTTGAGAGGCGAGGGGACGGCGGCGTGCCGCTGCTGCGGGAGCGGAGCGGGGAGCCGGTTCCTGCGAGCCGGTAGTGCCCAGGGCCGGTACCGCCCGCCCGGGGAGTGAAGCGAGGGTAGAAGCGGCTGCCCAGGAAGGGGCGGCGGGGAGGGACGAGGCTTCCCAGCGGTGCCTCCGGAGCGCGGCGAGCTCCGCTCAGCGCCGCACGCCTGAGGGAGGAGTTCCGGCCCCTCCAATCGGGGAGCTCCAGCGCGGCCGGAGCGCAAAGCGCTGTGGGACGGCGGCGGGAAGCGGGGAGCCGGTCGGTTGCCGAGGCAACGGGCGGCGCTGCGGAGGGAAGCAGCGGAACGGGCCCGGCACCGGCGCGTCCCCGCGGGGTTGGGCGGAGCTGCCCGGCTCGGGCACGGCCGCGGCGTCTGGGGAAGCGGCTGGGAGCGGAGCTGCCGGGGGAGTAGCGCCCCGTTAGAGCCCGCTGCGCTCCAGCATCGGCTCGCTGCCTCGGTGCTCTCCGCCTCTGCCATGGAGCGTGGGAAAAGGCAGCTGCCGGTGAGGAGGGAGACCACCTCGGAGCACTATAACCTGCCTGGGAGGTAAAGTCTGTGAGGGAGGAAGGAGGGGGGCTCCGCGCTGCCCCGTTCCTCATGGCACAGGAGAACTTCAGATTCAGCGGGGATTTTTCTGGAGGACATTGGGGAGGGCTGCAGTGAGTGAGGCAGCACACAGGGGAGAAACTCCCGTCGTGGCAGGGGAGCAAATAACATTTACCTCCGAATCTGCCCTTCTGTCTGATCTTGGTGTTCCTCAAAGCCTCAGGCACCAGGCAGACCCAATGTCTGCACTCCAGACGCCAGCTACATTAACTGCAGCTGCTAATTCCCAGTTACATTAATTTGGGTCTTCCACAATGCTTTGCTTTTGGAAATAAAGACTTAGCGTTGCAGATAGAGAGTTAAAGGGGTCTGTTGGTTCTGTAACACACTTAGGAAGTCTCTTAACAGGACACAGCCTTGGAGAAGTGAGCTCAGTTATGGGATAAGCACTCACCCCCTGCTCCCCAACCTGCTCTGACCAGGCTGGAGTGAGCCCCAGAGCATGTTCCTGCCGCTTTAACATCGGTTCTTGGGCTTGTGGTATAACTGGGCCAAGGCACTGCTGTGCTCCCACAGCAGCATTGCAGCTCCTGCCTTAGGAAGCCACATCCAGTAAAGCAGTGTAAAATGGACACACTCAGCACCTCTCCAGATTAAAGCCACCTCACACTGGTTCCTGGCAAATCATCTGTGTTACAGACCCCAGCATCTGATCAAATCCAGACTAATCTCCTGTATCCCCACTGTGTCTGTGATCTGTTGGGGGTCCCCCAAGTTCAGTTAGCAAAGGAGTGCAAGCAGCCATGGCCAGAAGGATGCTGTCCAGTTGGCGAGGCTGAGGGAGGCCTCATTAGAGCTCATTTGTACTCATCACAGATGATCTTCCCTAACATCAAGATTTCTCAGTTTAAACTGCGATGTGCTGGGGTCAGGAGTACAACTTCAAAGCATGTAAACACTTTGTGTGTCATCAGGCTACTGCCATGAGTTGCACACACACACACACAACAGCAGTGGGGGCTCAAGCACTGTCTGGGCAGAGCCTGGCTGGAGCCCTGGTGAGCCTCTCGGTGAGCTGGTCAGCGGGAGGCTCACACTGGGACCTTTGCTGCCTTGGTGGGCACAGGGGCCGTGCAGGCAGTGGCAGTGGCAGGGGCTTCATTACAAACCCAGCATCAAACTGCTCAGCCCAGTCCCGTGAGCAGGAATTCAGATGTGAAGGGACTGACTCCCTAACATTTAGGTATCGGCAATGAGCCCTCAGCTGAAGGAGCCTCTTTGGCTCCTGATGGGTTACAAGGGCTGCTGGGAGCTAACCCAGCTCACCCCTGCCTTTGGGCTTCCGTGGCTGTGCCAAGCCTGGGGTCCCTGTCGAGAACATCTCATAGCAAAAAATCAGCAGCACTCCCTTGAAAAGAGAATTTCCTTGAAAGGAAGAGTTCCCCTCCTTGAACAGAATGGAAACCCACTCCCTTCCCGCTCTGTACGAGGACTCTGCCTTTTTAGAGGGCAAGTCAATGAGTGTTGCAATACCTCCTCTGCCTCCCCTGTCACAGCATCTTCTACTAACAAGCCAGGATGCTTATTTCCCAGGAATCAGCAGCCCACCATTAAACAAGAGGGATTAACTGAGCATCAGTGTGTGGGGAGGGATCGTGGTTGTGCTCACAGGCACAGGAGGAGCACTTGTCCTGGCTCCCACCTGGCCGTGGCCGCTGGCAGAGGATGGTGAACATGCCAGTGGCTGCGCCCACAATGTCCTACACTGCTGCCCCCGACTTGTTACTTGTGAGCACCAGCAACCTGATGCCAGCTTGTGCCCGGGATGTCAAAGGCTCTGTATCCTGTTACTAATCCACTGAGCCATCGGTCCCTTGATGCAGGCTGCATTTACACCAGTAACCTACAAGCGAAAGGCTCAGGGTTGTCTTCTCAGTCCTTTGATCTCTCACCGTCCCCTGCCATCTGAGTCTTGAATCAGCCCTGCCTGGTCCACCTACAGCCCTGATCCTCCACCACCAGTGTGGGGCATGTGTACTGCGTATTAGCCATTTCCTGCAGGAAAAAGGGATTTGGGATGTCCAAACTGTGACTTGGGAGGTCCAGAAAGAGTGGCGGAGATGTGTGGGTCAGAAGCACATGCGCCTGAACCACATGGGCTACAGGGCCCAAGTGCCCAGAGAGGACTGGCTCTGCCCTGCCATGTGGAGCTATTTGGAAGCCTCCCTGGTCCCAGGATTGGAGATGAAAGCAAAAGGATTATCTCTGGAATTAGATTATTTAGACTGGAGCTTTAATCTCTGATCCCGTCTGCGCAAGAAAATAGTAAAACTCCTTGGGATTATTTGGGCTTTGTTGTACAAGTCAAACCGCACTTGCAGCAAGAGCTTCTGCTGGAAGGATTGAAAAATGAATGCTCTGGAGACCTGCCTTGTCTGACCTGTTCCCTGTATCCTGGTGAGACCTGACATGTTATTCGGAAGAGCTTCCAGCTTTCCTTGGAAGTAGCTGTGGCTCCAGGACTGCCTCTGCAATGACACAAAGGTGCCCTGCAACCACCCTTCCCCTGGCTCTGGTGTCCCTGTGCTTCTTGGGATTACAAACACAGCTCTGCCATGGTACAAATGCAGGGATACCAAGGGACACTGAGTGTCACTGATCCCCACAGGCTGGCACAGTCACTCTGCTGCACGCAGCAGTGCTGTCCTCTTGCTCTGCACACACGAACATGCATCTTCCTTGGTGAGCTCCACGGTAAGTGAAGCACATTTGTGTGCCAACACTCCCTATGGCACACACAAGCCTGCACAGGTCTCTCCCCCCTGCCAGTATTTTCCTAAGTACATACATAACTTACTAGGACTCTGGACTCTGTTCAGTTCATCACCCTCATCTCCTAAACACAATACAGCTGCTGTACCAATAAACGTGGAGATCTGTAAATACCCATTTTCCTATTTCTTGGCTCACACCCACATTTCCAAGACTGGACCAGCTCCATAGATACACACATATAGTTTGCATACACCCACTTGCAAACAACTCTTCTGCTGCTGCACTCCCATGTACTTATCTGCATTCCCTGCTTTAATGCGCACACACACAAACCTTTCCCAGTGCACATGCCTGTGCAAACACGAGTACACACACAAAATATAAGGAGAAACAGCTTTTCCATTGCTGGGATATGAGCCATTGCTGCAGTTACAGTGGTTGGCACAGCAACAGGAAAGCATAAGAGAAAATCCTCCTTTGGGACATGGATTTGTGGACCTTGAGAATTTGAAAGGGAACCTAGGAAGTGAAAGATCTGAGATGGAAGAAGCAGGAGAATATTGGTCCTTAACCTCCCAGTTGGAGTAAAGGGAAAACTGAGAGGAATACACCTCCCATTCCCACTGAGAAATACACAGCAATGATGACGCCCTTTGAAGCCAAGTAGAAATTAGTCCTGGCAACTTGTAACTGAGCCTCTGCATAGAGAAAGAGGGTAACTATAGGTCTGGCAGGGTAGGGGAAGGGAGCAGAAAGTTGGAAGCATGTTGGGGTAAGGAAAAGGAGAATGATAGAGAAGAATACGGCCTAGAGGCTGCTGTCATGGTCACTGCTGCACATATGTGCAGCATTTTGGAGTGTGAGCAAGCTGGAGAGCAGGGCACTGCCAGACAAGGAGGATCAAGGGCAATCACTGGCACCAACAACTCAGCTCCCACAGCACAGCTCCAACTGTGCATTCATTCACAGCTGCATTTGAAATCATCTGAAAAGGGGTGATGGTGGCTACTGCTGCCTACCCCCATCCCACCCAGCTCCCCTCTGTGTCCTTTCTCCCATTGTTCCTTGCCATAACACCATGGGGGCTCCCACTTCCCCCTTTGCAAGCAGGGGGGATGCAGGGGTTGGGGACCCTCATACTGCCCTCACCACAAGGCATCTCCAGGCCCCCAGCTGCAGGCTTAGTGGCTGGCAGTGAATCCCATTTCCTTGGCAAGGACTCGCCTCCACATCCTGGTGCAGATGACGGGGTGTGCATCTGCTGAAGCCCTTCTCCCCCAGCCCAGCCACCACCTCTCAGGGACATCCAGACATCATTTCAGCGTGCATATTTATCGCTTTCTCCCCGCAAGACATGTATTTGAATGTACTCTTGGTAAACATAACCACAGGAGATGCGAAATACGTGCCGGGGAAGCATAAATAACTCCACACAGATAGACACACACACGTAGACAGCAAACACAGACACGGTTCACCAAGGGAAACCAAGAAGTGCAGAGCACGCCCTGAGGCTGCCACCAGTCCCAATGGCTTTGCTCTCATCCACCAAGCCAAGAGGATTTCTCCTGCTCTTGCTTTGCAGCAGCTGGTGGGAGAACAAAGCTGGGGAGGAGGAGTCTAAAGTTGCAAATATCCCATGAA